AAAGTCTAAGAAAAAAAATCAAGAAAAATGAATTAACCGGAAAACTATCCCCGCAGCTAAAAGAAACAGAACAGACATAACAATTGTGTAAAAAACGAGGAAAAAGCTCCTAAGAAAAAATGTCCCCCTTGAATCCACGAATTTAGATTAAGAAAGGGTAAAATTAAATCCCAGATCATATTGTATTTCCCAATCCCTTTTAGGAAGAAAAAAGGTTTTTTTTAGGTTGCCTGATTAACTATGTAAAGTTAATAAGGAGGGGGGAGGGGAGGGGATGGATTTTTGGATTTCCGAGTACTATAGTAACTAAAAAGGTTTTAAGTAGTTTTTTACTAAATAAATAATAAGCAATAAGGGCCCTTCCTTAGACACCAGGCGTGCCCCACCGGTTCCCCTGGCGGGGGCCATCCAAAACCCAAATGTTTTTCCCCAATTAAAACTCAACTATTTTTTCCTTCAAAAAGTTGTTTATATTGTAGGGAATAATCGGGGTTTTTTTTTTGGATATATGAGGTGGGCCCAAACTTTTGTGATCGGGTGTTTTACTAAAAAAAATATCAACGTTGTGTTTTTTAACAAGTTTAAATATTGCGCGTACCCCTCCCTCCCTTACGAGAAATTTTACTACAAGCCGTTTTATTCAAACAAATAACTAATAAGATCCTAGCCGAACCCCCCCGTGCAAGAGGTAACGTTCCGTGGCCCCAAATCGGGAGCAAGCAAGGTAATCACTGATTACCATATCCATAATCCTTTTGGTCTTTAATTAGTTTGTGGGGCCCAAAAAAAGTTGCCCTTAGTTATTTTGGTCGGGGAATATGGGTAATGAAAAAATTGGTTTTCTTTAGTTGTCGGGAGTTGAAATTGGATTTTCCCACGGCTTAGGCCATGGTAAATCAGGTTTTTTTATAAATATAAAATTTGAACAGCTTTCTTATTTTTTTTTCCCCCTGTCCAGCAACCGAACACATCTTGTAAACTTTAATTTTAAAGGAAAAATAAATTTCCCCCCAATTTTTAATTCATCTGAGGAGATTTTTTAATTTGAAAAACGAAAAAAATCCAATTTTGGGGGGCCTCGATGGTGCTGTTTAAGTTGGAAAACCCACCCCACCCCCACCCCCACCCCCCCCCATTGGCCTGTAACTCCTAAGAAGTGTTTCCCAAGTAAGCATCAGAAAGTTAGGGCAATTTTTTAGTGGAAATAAACAAAACTAAGACCCAAGAAATTTCAGTTCTATAAAGTTTTGCAACAAATAATAAGATTTGGATTAATAATGGTTTAAAAACGGGTATAAATCAAGTATTAAAAAACAAACAAACCGCAACAAAAATACGAAGTTGAAAACTTGAAACACAAAACAGAACCGGCTAAATGCCGCCGCCCTGAAGTTTTTTCAAGTTCTGCAAGGCATTATTAAAAAATAAATTAACACCTGATCGTGGGATCGTCCAGGTTGCGCCATGTTTTTACCTCTGAAATGCCAAGCTTACCGTCCCAATACTTTTTTTTCCCAGGTATTCAATGGATTTAAAATGGTTATCTAGAACAATTTGGTACCATTTACAGTATCCCATTATTGTACTTGGTGAAAGGGAAACTTGGTTTATGGTACCTTTCATCCCTTCCCCTTATGTAAAATTGAAAACTTAACAGAACCTACGAAAAAACGGGTTTTTAACGGAAAACGTAAACTACCGTATGAAAAACCAGGAACAAAAGGAAATCGCGGGCTATGTAACGGAATCCACATCCGCCGATTTTTTCTTTCCCCAGTATTTTTTTTTGCGACAAAATTTGTTAGTTATAAGTTTTTGTTATATACCGCCGGATAAATGCAAAATTTCCGCGGTAACAATCTGCGAAATTTTTGGGCCAAAAATAATCGCGAAAATCCTTTTGTCCCCCCTAAGTATGGAACTTAAGAAATAAACGCCCTCTAAACTGTTCACCACAGCAATCGAAGATTTTTCGGGGGTCGGTTCCGACAGAAGACACCTTCCCCCCGAAGAAAACAAAACCCAAGTCAGGAAGTTACCCTCCGTTTATCGCCCGGGAAAAGGCGAATAACCACCTTAGTGATAGTGAACCGATAGTGGGGACCCAGTCCTTCGTCCAGTTACAATTGGGGGAGTCCACTTTTATTCCCAACTATTTCCCCAGGCTGGCCCATGGTGGGTCCTAAAAATAAACCATTTTTATGTTTATATTTTTTTAATAACATTCTAAAAAAACAAACAGCGAAAATTTATTAAAAATCATGAAAGAACTAAAAAAATTTGTGATAAAAATTCCAGGAAAATAATTTCTTCGCTAAGGGCACGAGGAAGTCCAAAGATTGGGGGGGGGCCGGTGGTCAAAAAAAAATGAAAGACATAATATCATAACTGTATTTCAAAACTTGAACAAAAATATCCCCCGGCAACGGCCAAAAAATACAATGCACTTCTGTAATACCCCCCCAAATTAATTTACGACATCGGCTTTAAAAAATTTGGACATAATTGACCTGTACCAGGTAGGGCAGTAAATAAACTGTTTAAAGGAAAATAAAAACTTTGTTTTATTAAAGGGTTTTTAATATACACCAAACCCAAAAAAAAAAGTAATTAAAGGGTTCCCCCGAAAAAAGGGGGGGGAAACCCCAAAATTTTTTTTTCAGTTTCACATAATCTGACAAAGCTACTGGAGAAGAAACAAGTATGGAAAAAAAAAACTGCATCCCAAAGTCCCTGGACATAGGGTTAAAAGCCCTCAACTTTTGGAAAACAACTGTCCCACCCCATTGAACCTAAAAACTTAAGCAATGGGTTTTTTCCTGAATGGACCGAAAAGGAGAATTAAGTCCCTCCACTCAACTGTAAAAAACAAAATACCAATCAATTATTTGTCCCGAACGTTTTTCGACTACATAAGCCCTTTTGTCCATGAAACAAACGTTCCAGAATTTAATTAGCTCAATAAGATGCCAGTAGATTTTTTTTCCGATCCAATGACTCAAAGTGCCCGAAGGCAAAAAAAGAAGTCCAAGGAACAAGGGTATAGCGAGAAACGAGGTTTTTTTGTTATGAATGGTAACTTGCGAACCGTGGCGTTTGCGAGCGGTGGTGCCGTAAACAGTTTTTATCGCCCCACGTGGGTCCCCCCCCAATCCCTTGCCCCGCACAAAAGTTATTTTTGCGCGATAATCATTGAAACTGACCAAGTAAACATATTAATTTCCCACCATGAAACGAAACCCCCCAATAAAAATAGCAAAAATATTAATTAATTGTTTGATTTTTATAATCCCATTGCACAATCCGGGGGCCCCAGGTGCAAAACATAAACAATATAGTTTATACCCATTTTCAAACTCAAATATGGGAATTATAAAAAATAAAGTTAAACTGGGCAAAAGCACTCGCCGCCCCCACTCCTTTCCCCCAAAACTTGCATCCCCTTTAAAACCGTAAAAAACCCTTTGGGGATCCCCCCAGATTTTTAAGGAATTCCCCGAATAAAATACGCCCATCACGATCGGGAAATTGAGGGGCCCAACCACAAAAGAAAGCGCCGCCATTTTTTTTTAGTTTTTTGTTAATCAGTTTTTTAAAATTTCCCCCCCCCCCCAGTAATCCATCATCCCGGGGACCCCACTCAAAAAGACCCGAAAAACAAAAAACCCATAAAGGAAAGTCCCCCCAGTCCAGGGTTTTAAACTCAAAAAAATGAATAATTGCAAATAAATTTTAAACCAACCCACCAATAATGTTTCTAAAATTTCCTCATAATTTTTAAAAAATATCAAAACCCTGGATACCCCCCAACCCCGCGTATAAAAACCAATTTAAATTTAATAACTTGCAAACCAATTTATTTGCAAAAAAAATTGGTTACTAAACATTAGTAAATTATTTTCCCATCCGGAAATTGCTCTTTTAGGAAAAATTAGAGTGGTTTTTTTTTTGGATGAAATTTGAATAATATAGACCTCCAAACAGAATTTGAATATAAGTTTTTTTCCTAAGAAATTTAAGTGTGGATAGAATATTATATATAATAATTATTAATTATATAGGTTATGGGTTTTTGTTTGGAAGCTCCTTCAAAAGTTATATCACAGCCCCTCTCAATTTAAACCAAACCCCCTACAACAATATAAAGTCCCCCTATAAACCAACCAGAAATAAAAATCAACTTCCTGTCCGTCATCCCCAGGACCAGGAAACTACCTCGCTTTTCTCTAGACAAAAGTAATTACCTGACAGTAAACTAAATTCACTAAAATTGCCCAACAGAAAGAATTTTATTTGCCCAGAATTGTTTTTTGGACTCAAGTTTTTTGAATTCGGAAACCTCCCCCAAAACCTGTGGGTTTATGGTTAAAGACCCCCCCCCATCTTTTCATAGAGGGAACGAACATTTGCTCCCCAAATTATGGAATAGTTTTTGGCAACTGCAAGCATCTCCTATTCCCTACCCAACACAGAAACCTTCTTTGTCGAAAAACCGTTACGGGTTAATTGTATAGGAAATGGAAAAAAAAAACTTGGTTGTTTGTGGACCCAAAAGTAGTAAAAAAAATATAATTCCGGGGTATTGATAAAAGCATACCGTTCCCCCCAAAATCTTGCAAAAAAAAACCATTCAACTTCTTTGGTCCCCAGTAATAAATTGCAAGTAACAATAGTGCGGAATAAGAGCCAAAAAAGACCCGTTAAAGACTATTCCATTAAATAGAACCGTGCCAGTGTCCCCCCCCACCAGAATTCCTCACCACTTACCCGAAGAAATGTTAAAATTCTCCTCTGTAAAAGTGTGAACAATGAAGGAGATATTGTTTTAAAAAAACATTGTTCAGATAATAGTGCTACCTCAGGCATGTAGAATGCTATTTTCCTGATACAGCTAATCCTGTCACTCCCTTTTTGGGAGTCAAACAAAATCTTCAAGAGAGCCTGCATTTTCAAGAAGTCTTTTGTTATCATACTCTGGGCCCGTCTTTGGACCACTTTGATTGCCGGTATTAGGAACAAGGGTAGGCAGGTAAAAGCTGCTAATCCTAGTCCCACAAATAGCCACCCACCCCATGAATACAGTTGCGCTGCTAGAATACTTGAGATGATGTTTGCTACGTGCATGGAACAGCTAATTATTATTATGAGAATTTTGTATTCTTGCAGATAGAGGTCTACCATTTCTCCCTGAAAAAAATATCATATTCAGGTCATATATGTTATAAATGAGGGGGGGGGGGTCTAACCTGATTTCCGATATAAGGGTTGATGAGGCCAAAATCGGAATCGAAAAAATCATATATGTTATAAATGAAGGCAAGCCCTCTAGCGTAGCCTTTCACAATTGTCATGTTGAGTTAATATCAATAGTATATTTTTTCCAGGCATGGATCCACGGGTTGGGGGTGCAGAATGAGAAACTTTTTTCAGATATTAGACGGTGAATTTGATCTATTTTTCAGAGGTGATTTCATCTAAATCACATTCTAGTCAATGAATTTAATAACACGAATGACAAACCACAGCAGTTGAGGAATTCCAGCATAGGACCCTGGCCTGCACCCCCAAAATGTCTTTGCTGGATCCATGTCTGATGCTGTTGATCTAAGATGACATTTCATATATTAGTAAGGGGAAAAGTGGCATTCCGTTTGGATTCGAATGTTCACAAGGATTTCTCAACGGAATATGGTAGTTAGGACCCCTACGAACATAATTAGACTTGTTGCCAATTTTGTATCTCAACGGAAACACCCTTTTACCACTTTTTACCACCTTTGTGTACCACCTTCTGGTTTTGCCATATATCATTAGTTGTGAACATCATAGAAAGCTGCAAATTAACCTAGAATGTTCATCTTATCAAGGAGTAAAACTTTGTATGAAAAATTTTTTACATCGGACAATCAGCTAATTGGATAATTACCAATTAGTTAATCACCAAAAAAAGTGAAAATTTTTTATTGGCTTAAAATGATTGAAATCGTTTGAAACACGGAGAAATGTAGTTTTAGAAAAACTTCAAAAAATTTTTGACTTAAATTTTTTTTCGAGACTTGGAAAAAAGTTTGAAAATTTGAACTATTTTTTTCCGCCAAAAGTGATCGAATTGCATGAAACGTGATAAAAATGCTTTGCAGAAAAACTTCGAAGATTTTTAGATTGAGGAATACTAAAATCATCAAATATTTGAAGTTGGAGTCAGTAAATCTCGACATATTTTAGTAATTAGGAATAGCTTAGCGGAAAGGCTGGACCTGAAAAAAGGTTAACCCACACAATTTTAGAGTTTCATAACATAATACAATACAGCTTTATCAAATTCCACATAAAGAAACAGCACAAAAGGACCATTTAAGATCGAACCGATTTTACCTGCTGTACTATCATTTATTTGATTTTTTCCCAATGCATTCAAAAACCTCCTGTCCCAATTCCTTGGCCAATACTATTACCGGGTATCCCTGAAATGGGTAACCTGACCCTCTTATTACCTCTAATAATTTGAACCCCAGTTTTTGTGCAAAGTAAAAATCCGAATTTTTCTCCCAACAGGGGTTGTTTTCTGTTAAACTGTGCCACTTTTTTGGTCACTCTCGCATACCTCCGCAAGAGGCCCTGGGGAAATATTTTATAAAGGGGGGGTTAATAGGAACGAGTGTAAAATATACCCTTACAATCATCCATTTGCCTGTTTTTTTTTGTGTATTGTGGGGAATGCCCCGCAGGCCGCTTCGTTTTTGCTTTATGCCATATACCTCGAATAACCACCCCATAAGGGTCCATTGCCAGGGTCCGGGATTAAGCTTGGAGGATAAAGCCATGAAAAAGGTTTTGCCTAGAAATAGCCTAGCATTTAGAGTAAAAACCTGGGTGGGTAAGCCTGGGGTGGTGGCTAGCATGGATGTAGCAGAACGTAGCTACACGGGGTTTCATTGGAGTGGTTATTTTAATGGCCAAAGAGTGCCGGAACTAATGTTACTAAGATTGCAGTTGAGGGGCAGTGTAAACCACGGTGTAGTCAGGGACACAGAGCTACAGTGCAGGAGTACTGCAAAAGAACAGTGCAAGTGATACAGTCTGCAACAGTAAAACTCCGAAGAAGGAGATAAGATTGTGGCTGCAGAGGAGGAGAGTAGCTGGAACCTGATTGTGTTTGTGTTGACTGAAGAGGAGGAAGAAGAGTTTCCTGCTCTGGTAACTGCATTTTTGGAATAGGTGGGGTGAGAACTAATTTTCAAGCGACAAGGGGTGGGCTGGAAGCAACCAGATACAGCTATCCGACCTATTAAGATCCACCGTCCTGAGCCTTAACAGCATTTTTCATCAGAATCTGATGAAAACAGAGAGACTGACCAGTAGTATGTAATATGGTACCGCTGTATCACCTAAAAGTGAGGCACCTGATTTTGTGTATAATTACATAATTTAACCCTAATCAGTGGTGATTTTTGCTAATCCTAATTGTTAATTGTATACACTAACCCTAATTAGGAGTGTTTATTCCTCATTAACATTTGGCTAATTTGGGGAGACCATACTATTACACTGAGGCTAACCCTAGATAACAATTATGTAGTGTGTACTGTAACTTGAACACTGCGTATGTTGCATGAGAATTGAGAAAGTATATACAATAGTTATTGTCAGAAGCTTTTAAGCACACCTGTTCATATTATATAAAGGAGCAAGTGCTGGGGGAGCATTTTGCACATCTAATCACAACCTTTATATACTTTCTAATGGAAAAGTCATTATTTGTAATACGGGAGTATCATGTAAGTGTTAACTTGTGACACACAGAAAGTTTTTTCTTATTACCTTTTAGCTTTCTAATAAGGACTGATGTTGACCTTTGGGGATATTTCTAAGTTGTCAGACCGTGAACTAAGAGAGAAGTTAATACCTAAACCTGGATCTAGTACTGAGACTCCGAGGAAAGTATACAAGGTGCAATTGTTTAACCTAAAGCTCGATTTTCTGGATCAGGATTAAGTTGAATACTGACCCATGATTGCATCTGTATGGATACTCAAAGTCACAACACCTGTTGATGTGACAAAAGAATCAGCCAGTTTTGATGAGTTGCACTTGAAATATCTTATCGATCAATTTGACACATCTGACCGAATGAATTATTATTATTGTGTGTCAACAGTATGACATAGTACACAGCATGCAGTATAGGAGAGCAGCAAATTAATCAATCGTGTTAATATGAGTGAACATTATTTTAAATAATGTGTTAAGATCACTAAAACAGTAAATTTCTCAACCCCCAATAAATCGGCTATATAAGGAACTCATAAACAGGATCATTTCATAATTAACGCGCTACGATACGCTTCATTGTTTTTTTTTAGAGCTTATTAACTTTTGTGACATCGCGTAAAACAAAACAAAAAACGTCCTATATAAAGGGGGACTCTATACAGTTTAAGTCACTTCACGTTTGACTAGTAACGCTATGTCAAAGATGGTGTACTCCCACAAATGTAACCATTGTTACAAGTCTTTTAAAACTTCACGAAGCTTAGCGTCACACAAATACAAATTTCATTCTGACACACGTTCAGTTAATAAAGACTGCAGAAATCTTGATAATTTTTCTATCAATAGTGATATTGAATCAGTCTCTGTAACAAGTGAGACATCAGTTTCATTAGCTCTACGTGAATTGAAAGATCTCATGAAAATTGTACAACAAAGAAACGACAAACAAGAGGACAAATTGAGGGAATTGGATGCTAAGATATTCTCGCTGGAGTATAGTAAACGTGATGATCTTCCTACACCAATGAATTACAATCACGACAACACCAATGAGATAAAGTGGGAGACTAAAAGACAATCTGAACGAATAGGAGATCTTGAAAGAAAAATAAAAGATTAGAGCAATCTTGTGAAGATGAAATGGATCAATCGTTTGTCAAAACAGTGGAGGATGCAACCAACGTTCAGCAATTATTCCAAAGCAATGACGTGGGAGCAATCCAGAAACAAATAGTAGCTCTAAAGAATGGAGTTCTTTTACTTCTTGACAATTTTGATCATAGTCCTGAAATAGAAAACCTGTTGCGACGAATATATGATGCTTCATTTAAAGAGGCTCAAGAAATCGTGCACAAAAATTTCTTTGCTCTACAAAAAGCTTTTACTTCTGTCTCGTTTGAGCAAAAACCTAATTTTGAAAATGAAGATGAATCGGACGAAAACGAAGAATCTCAAAATGATGAGACTACAGATCAAACTGAAAACGATGATTCAGAAGGTTCAAGCGATGAAATAGAGGAAGAAAATTCAGCTGATGAGACTCAGACAGAATATTATACTAGTGATAATTCAGACATTGAAGATTCGAATTGAAGAAGGGACTATGGATAATTGAATACTCAATATTCGACTTTTCTTTCTTTTTTTTTAATTTAGAATTACGTATTAATTTAAAAATATTGTAGCGAGGGATTTTTTTAAATTGTTATTCGATATATTCAATTCTTTTTTAGTATTAAAAAACTATTTCTTTTATTGTCATGAAATACACAAAAGACTAAACAAACTTCATAAATCAATTTCAATTTGCAAATAAGTAAAACATATAGTAATTCCACAATATAGATGCAAAAACCATAAACCCGGTGATATCACCCATATCACCCGGTGATATCACCCATATCACCCGGTGATATCACCCGTATCACCCGGTGATATCACCCGTTAAAACATATAGATAATTCCACAATATAGATGCAAAAACCATAAACCCGGTGATATCACCCATATCACCCGGTGATATCACCCGTATCACCCGGTGATATGTTATTTTCCTGCTACTTTTGATCATTCAAAATGATAAAATTTAAGAAAAAGCTGCCCGGACGAGCTCAGTGTACATGCTTTGTTAGTTATTACAGCGTGGTTACTATGTTCATATATATTGGAACAGTGCATATAATCGAAAGTATGTATCCAGACATGTGTATGTGTTCGACCAGAGTTCGTTTCAAAGTTTACAGCTCTCACACAACTCAGTTTAGTGGGCATTCCCACAATTATTTGAGATGGAAATGAGTGGAGAGAATGCTCTCCTGATTCCGTATTTTCTCGGGAGCCAACCCCGAACAGTGATATAGCTGACTCATGGTACTGGAGATAGGCTAAGATCTCTCTAACCGAACCGTCAGCAT